GTTATGTTTCTGGCATTAGTGTATTATTCTTAACTTGGGTTCTATAATCCCAAAATATGTATCAGTACATTAATTTCACACAAAACAAGAGATAAATTACAGAGTGATAGACAATAATTTTACTAATACATAATGCGAATATTTGTTTCTGTGAATGTTTGTTGTTGTGAAACTAGTATTGTATAAAGCTGAAGAGTGTTTGTTTGACCGCGCTAATCTCAGAAACTACTGGTTCAAATTGATAAAATATTTTTATATTAGATTGTCCGTCTATCGAGGAAGGCAATAGACTATAAAACATCACGCTACGACCAATAGATGCCGAGCAGAGAGTGAAACCGGGAGTAGAAACTACATAAGTAGTAGTGCTGTTATTTCCAAAACTTATTTGTTACAGAAAGGCACCGTATTGGAAGTTTTTCGAGAAGAAAGAGCATTATGTAGCGACATGTAAGATTTGTTTCAATGACTATTCATATCGTAGCACAACTACCAATCTTAGTTTTCATTTAACTAGGAAACATGGCGTCGATGCTCGCGCCATTGACAGCAATAGTGATGCGGAGACGTGAGTAACTGAGTAACTTGTTATTAAATATAATAGGTATAAATATATATTTTTTTTGCTTATAATATACCTGTTACTATTACTTATATAGGGTGTAATTAATAAAGTAAAAGACGGTTAAGAATGATATAGTTGGTAGTAATGGTAATAAACAACTTTTCTGATGTTTCAAACTCATTCATCGTGGAACCGTACGGAAGTAGCTATTAATATTATAAACGCCCACGAGGTTTCACTCACTCCGGTCGGCCCTTTTGATCTTAATGTATGGTGTTCAATAGCCTATAGTCTTCCTCGATTTAATGGACTATTCAACACAAAGATTTTGTCATATCGAACCAGTGTATCTAGAGATTAGCGCGTTCAAATAAAGAAACAAACTTTAGTTAAAAGGTGATAAAAATTCTGAGTTTATATGTTTATTACTCAGTCACTTCAAAACAGCTGAATGGATCAGGTTGAAATTTGGAACAAGGGTAGATTATGGTCAGGAATATCACGTGGGCCATTTTTTATCACACGGGAATGCAGAAGCTAGCTATACATGTATCCAAAATGAATGAGTTTAGAACATAACTTTTTTTGGCTAAAGTTGTATTATCATTAGTACGGTTTAAGGATTATTTATTGTATTTTAGTCTCGTGGTGGCTCGAAGGTTAAGACGCCCGCTTCCCATGTGTAAGGGTGCGTTCGAAACCTACCAACGGCAAGTACCAATGTGACTTTTCCGAGTTATATGTACTTTCCAAGATTATTCAGACACCCCTGATAAATGGTGAAGGAAAACATCGTGAGGAAACCTGGGCTTATAATTTCTAATCATAAGTTTGAAATCGCCAACCCGCATTGAGCAAGTGTGGTGATTAATGCTCAAACCTTCTCCGTGTGAGAAGAGTTCTTTGCTCAGCAGTGGACATTTATAGGCTGTTGTTGTGTATTGTATTTTTAGAAAAAACCTTTTTTAATTACATTAATCACTTTCAGAGCTTTGTTGTCTGCGAAAAAGAAACGGGGCCCAACATTGAGTTATTATGAGTATCTGGGTCCTGATAAGGCAGAAACTCAATGCAAGTTGTGTGACAAGAAATTCTCAGTTGACGCAATTAAAGAGATAAAAGAACACATTGTTGACGATCATGGAGAAACGCCTACAGATTATGAATCAGAGAAGAAACCAAAAGTTTTATTGTAAGTTCTTTTTTTTATAAACGTTGCCCCACATTTAAGTGTGGGAGAGCCATGCTTTGGCATGAATGGGCCGGCTCGACCGGAGTGATACCACGGCCCCACAGAAAACCGACGTGGAACAACGCTTGCGTTGCGTTTCGTCGTGTGAGTGAGGTTACCGGAGGCCCAATCACTTCCTTCCCTAGTCTCCCGAATCCCTGAATCCTTCACAATCCTCTAATTCCCAAAAGGCCGGTAACGCACTTGTAACGCCTTGGTATTCCAGGTATCCATGGGCGGCGCCGAATGCTTACCATCAGGCTTATGGTATAAATAAAATTTTTAACTAAAATTATAAATACGTAGGCGTAAAACACATAGATTACATTTTATCCTACGGTAATACGAGTGAAGCCGCTGGCAGAAGACGGCAACCATGCAGTCTTCTCTTTTTATAAGTCATAGTTGGTTTTCATCATCATCTTCATCCCGTTAACTTATTAAGACAATTGATCTCTTTGGTAGAAGATTCTCATAGTACAGCAGTAGTCTCTCACAATTTTTTTTTTATGTATTTGTTAGGCCGACGATTGCCCACTATCTCGTCTGGTGGTAAGCGGTGATGCAGCCTACAATGGAGCACTTCGTCCTATAAGCTTAAACTGTCAAACACCAAGCGGTCACCGGTGACCGCAACCTATTGTTCTATAATTGTGTCTATAATGACGACCTATTCACTCGGGCCTTGAAGACACCTCAGGAAACACAGACTCTGGCAAAGAATTCCACTCTTTAGCAGTATGCACAAGGAAGCTTGATACTATAACGAGAGAGAACATTTCTATATGGTTAAACGTAAATCACATTCGTACTACTGACTGCCTCGTTGGTGCTCGCAAATGCGATTGCTGGGCGAGGGGTCTCGGATTCGATTCCTGATGTTGGAAAACCCAAAGTATTATTGGTTTAAGAAAATCAGTAGTAGTAACAAGGAGTTCGTAACTGTGCCCAGTTTATGGCAATAGGCTCACCCCCTATTACATGGGACCCATAACATAAATAAAACTCCTGGAATTGGTCGAGTCGGCTTGCATGCATTTGTTGCCGCTTAATCCCACTCATCACAATACAGGTGCCGATGACACCTGGCTCGACCTGATCCTTACCTCCAATCCTTCCCTTGTTTCCTGCCATGGTCAACATGACGCTCCAGGCTTTTCTCACCACGACCTCATATACCTTTCTTATACCCTGAAACCTCCTAAAGTTAAGCCCAGGTTTTTGTACAGACGTTGTTTTAAGCGAATGGATGGAGAAAGGCTTCGGGAAGAGGCTTCAAATATTGATTGGGAGCCGCTGATGAGTGCCACCACGGTTGATGACAAGGTTGACATCTTTAATAAAATCATCACCAAGCTATATGATCGGCACGCTCCAGTCCGAAAAGTGAAGATTAAGCGACCACCCGCGCCATGGATGACCAGAGGCATTCAGATGGCGATGCGTCGCAGGGACCGAGCCTTCAGGAAACATAAAAGGGACCGCACTGAAGAAAACTGGTTAGCTTTTAAATTTGCAAGGAATCGATGCAACCAGATGGTACGCAACGCTAAACGCCGACATATTCTTGATAACATCTCTCTATCTTCTCCTGCCAATATCTGGAAATTTCTAAAATCTCTAGGTATTGGTAGAACGCAATATTCAGACCTCCCGACCTCTATTAGTCTGGATGATCTAAACAATCATTTCTCCACCTCTTCGCCCTTGGATTGTCTAACTAAAGAGAGTACTGCATCATCAATTGCTGGTCTGATGCGTCCTGCTATAAATCCTTTCCGTTTCGACCCTGTAGACTCGGAGGAAACCAGAAAGATTATCCTGTCCATCAAGTCCAAGGCTGTTGGTTGTGATAATATTTCCCGATACATGATCATAACAGTTTTGGATCACCTCATCCCAGCCTTAACTCACATCATCAACTTTTCACTCTACTCTAGTTCTTTTCCTTCCTTGTGGCGCAGAGCATTTGTCCGGCCACTGCCTAAAATCTCGAATCCTACTCTTCCCACTCACTTCCGTCCTATTTCAATCCTCCCTTTCTTATCTAAAGTGCTTGAGGCTTGTGTACACAGGCAACTCTCACATTTTGTATTCCGCAACTCCTTACTTAGTCCCTTCCAATCTGGCTTCAGGCCAGGGCACAGTACCACAACGGCCCTCCTTAAAGTGACTGGCGATGTGAGGGCAGGTCTGGAAGACAGTAAAGTCACCGTACTGGTATTGGTCGACTTCTCAAATGCCTTTAACATGGTCAGTCACGACATCCTTCTAGCCATCCTATCCCATCTTATGGTTTCCGATGATACTCTACATTGGTTCTCATCTTATCTTCGGGGGCGGCGACAGATGGTCCAAGTTGGTGATTCGTCATCAGAATGGTGCCATTTGGAAACTGGCGTCCCTCAAGGCGGTATACTATCACCTCTCTTATTTTCTATCTTCATCAATCTCATTACTACTGAACTTCAATGTGCGTATCATCTGTACGCTGATGACTTGCAGTTGTACTGTCAGGCTAGTAGGGAGAACTTACCGGAAGCTATCAAAAGGCTAAACATTGACCTGGCTTCTATTAAAGACTGGGGTGATAGGTTTGGGGTAGCTGTGAACCCGAGCAAGTGCCAGGCCATAGTAATTGCGAGCTCGCGCATCCTCAGTAAAATAGATGCTAGCACCCTTCCCCCTGTTCTGTTTGACGGTGCGGTCATCCCATGCACCAGCGACGTCAAGAATCTTGGCCTTCACATTGATAATACCTTGAGCTGGCGCCCGCAGGTTACCAGTGTCTGTAAGAGGGTTACTGGGTCGTTGCGGGCTCTGTATCGCCTCAAAAACTTTCTTCCATCCTTCGTGAAGGCAACGCTTGTCCAGTCGTTAATTTTCCCTATTATTGATTATGGTGATGTCTGTTATTACGACCTGAATGCAGATCTCCTCAACAAACTAGACAGACTTCTGAATAACTGCATTCGATTCGTGTTCAACCTTCGTAAATATGATCATGTTTCTGCACAGCGCTTGCAATTAAAGTGGTTACCCATACGCCAACGTAGGGAGCAAAGGGCTTTAACTACTTTATTCTCTCTTCTTGAATCCCCTTTTTCTCCTAACTATCTATCCACCTATTTTCAATACACCAGTGCAAACCACAGTAAATATCTTCGTTCTTCCAACAATCGCCATCTACAGTGTGTCAGTCATCGCACTGATTTTCTTCATTCTTCTTTCTTCATACAATCTGTTATTCTGTGGAATGCACTACCCACGGATATCAGGACGGCGTCCAGTCGCTTAGCTTTTAAGATTAAAGTTCGGGAGCATCTTCTTCAACAATTGGTAGATTCATCTCAAACCTAAACCTCTTTTAATTTAATATTTTGTATTATATTTTATAATGTACATATATATTTCTATATATATTCATTATTTTTTATTTATATATTTACTTTAATATTGTATACATAATTATTGTTATATGTAAGTATGTATAAGTTTTCAAATATACCTATATGCTTAGTGTTTATTGAATATTCTGATTGTAAGATTTGTTATTTATTACACTGGTACATTGCCTATTTATAAAGGTTTAAATCACCTGCTACTTTCATCTCTGCACTGCTTAAAGGTTGACTGGGAGACAATGCCCATGGCATTAAGTCCACCTGTACACACTTGTTGTATGAAGTTGAAATAAATAAATAAATAAAATAAATAGTGAAAAGTGGGTGTTACATTGTCCAGAGGCATTAAGTGCCATAATGTGCACCTCTGCCTATCCCTTCGGGGGTAAAAGACGTGCTGTTACCTCGTCTCAGACCCCTGTTGATGATTATGATTATGAATATAATTAATGTAATGCTTATTTTCAGTCGAGGGCGATATTGGGACTACTTCACAAAGAAAGAGGGTTACGTAGCGACTTGTAATATATGTGCTAATGATTACTCGTTTCGTTCTACTGTAAGCAACCTCAAAAAGCATTTGATAAAGAAACATGGAGTCGATGTAATTGCCTCTCTCGGCGACAGCGATAGTGAAGTAGAAAAGTGAGTTCCTTGATATTAGACATGTAATAATCATAAGAATATGGTAATCATTATAGTTCACCATTAGTAATACAGTACATACAGAGAAAACAATTAACATACATGAATAAAAAAAAATAATAGGCACAAAGGCGGTCGTATCACTTATAGTGATTTCTAGACAACCTTTGGATGGATATAATGCAAAAGAATTGGTTAGACAGGTTGTGCACTACGAAAAAAAACTCATTTAACTAAAAATCGCGGGTCACTCACGTGAAACTGTCGCGGAGAACCTAACGGGTTACCGGGGCTCCGGCTCGACGTGCAGGAGAGGGAACGGGGTGGTTTTTAGTCAGTAAGAGTCTGACACTCCCTCCTGCTTTACCTAGACGGGAGCAGTCATTCGATTAAAAAAAAAACTTACGTGAAACTATTGAGAAAAGCTGTACTACTAGTTTCAAGCCACAGAGGACCTCTTCCTCATGAGCAGCGTGCGTAGTTGCGACGATGTCGCGCAGCCTACTCCGTGATGTGCAGCCTCAGTGGTTTGAAACTGGTAGATCTTTTCACGGTACTTTTACGTGAGTAGCCTGCGATTTTTAATTAAGCCTTTAACTGCCGACAAAACTGTTAAAGGCTAATCCTCCGCTAGCGTCGGAAAACATTGTCCGACACGGCAGCCAATGTGTAAATTTAGTATGTGTCATAATAGTTATTATATAAATCATTATTCCCATTATTTATCAGAGATTGTTACTGCCCTGTTGTTGTGAAATGTACCGTCCCTTAGTTCACGTGAAGAGTAGACGTAAAGACAATTGTATCATATCATACTTTGCACTGCCAATGTGCCTTCATAACCCTGGCATTGGCATTTTGCATATTAAACTGTCAAACACCAAGCGGTCACCGGTGACCGCAACCTATTGTTCTATAATTGTGTCTACAAAACCGGTACTCGACGAGTTAAACTTTCATTTCTTATGTTGTTGTTTTATTATAAGATGTTTTCAGAGAAACGCCATCAAATAAAAAGAAAAGAGGACCAACGTGGAATTATTTTGAGGTACTAGATTCTGACAAATTCGAAGCTCAATGCAAGATATGTGAGAAAAGTATTGCATATGATACTGTGGATGACCTGAAAAAACATATCGAACAACACGGAGAGGATCCTGTGGACAGTGATGATGAGGTTAAAGTTCATGAGTAAGTTTTTTTATCTATTATCAAGCTTATACTCTTCATCAATTAATCACCTATGTGGTCCAGCCCTGTTTCGAATTTCAATTGTTTTTTTTTTAAACGTTACCCCACACTACGTTTATCTCCTGTATCGTGGGTGCGTTTACAAACATACAAGTTCACATACCCATGACACTCAGACCCGAAACAATAATTTGTGGATCACACAAAGTGTTGTTCTGTGCGGGAATCGAACCTGCGACACGTTGCACGGCAGCCCGTTGCGCAGCCACCGCACTAACCGTGCATCAACCGTTGAATAATAAACATGTAGACAAACACACAAACTTTATTAAAAATATTATTTATGTCTCTTCTTTACTATTCAGGACAAGACATGTTTCAAAAATATGGAAATATTTCAAGAAATTAGACATGGAAAAGAAGTTGGCCTTATGTCTGATCTGTAAAAATGTGTATAATGCTGAGACCACTAACAATCTGAAGAAACATCTCAATGCTAAACACCCTGGTGCCGATGTACCTGAAGTAGATGAAGTAAGTATAAAGGCAGAAAATTAAATTAACACATTTACTAATGTGTATACAAAATTTTAGCTCAATCGGTTAAAGATATCTGCTTCAAAATTCAGTTGCAAGATTCAACTTCAGACACATATTGCAATTTAAATAAAAGCTTGTCAAAATACATTACTGTGGTCGGGCGTGTCGTGGCCACCATTTGTTTGCAAGCATTAGGTGACCCCACGACGATACGACATACAAGTGTCTACAACTAGTATAAAACCGATATGCTTCTGGTGCGCCGCGATACTGCGCCACGGTTCATTCGTTTTCATGGTGGGACAAGTTTAAATGAAAAATACCTTGTCTTGCATTTTCAACATAGTCACACAATGCACACGTTTTGATCCCAAGATTATTTTAATATGATATTAAATGATTTCTACTCATTTCAGAAGAAGTATATAATATCATCCGATGGACAGCTGTATGAAATGGAATCAGAAACTGAAAAAGGTGACGACAATGATGATGCTGAAGATGTAAGTATCTACTTGTCGGTTTAAAACCTGGACGCTTACTCTTGAAACCAATCTCAATGTCAATATAATTTCAATCCAATATAATCTCAATAATTATTCAATGTCAACATTAAACAAGTCCAATCGTAGCTGTTAAAATGGCATTCAAAGTACGGAATATAAAGACAAACTCAATACCATTTAGTTCATTCAATATCCACGCAATAAGGATGCAATAGGCGTTAGATTTACAACTCAAGATGTCAGTCAAATTGGATTCAAGAATAAGTCCCCTGGACGGTCGATTTTGTCATACCCAATCATAATTTGTTGACCTGACTTTATTTATTTTTATTCGCAGAAAGACCCAATTGAGATGGATACGGTATACCTCGAAGATCTAGACGATTTAGATATATCCCGCCATTCCTCTCCCAGCCCGAGCCCACCAAAGAAGAAAGCAAAATCAATATTTAATAAAAGACAATCGATCTCAAAACCACGAAAAGAACAGTTACTCAATAACAGTTCCAATAACGAAATTAACGAAGCACCTCCAAGACGTAACTCATATAATACTAGCTTGGATTACTTTGGCCAATACGTTGTGTCGTTACTAAAAGAATTACCCAAATCTGTATCAACTCAGTTGCAAAATGAAATAATTAAACAGATTTTGACTAGTAAAGTAGCTTTAGAATCTGAAGGAACGAAGTGTCAAGTTAGTATTAACCAAAATACGGACAATCAGACAAATGTAACGGAACCTATTATGTACATTGAAGCTAAACCGAATACCTAGTATTTATTAACGTGGTAACCACAACACTGGTGGTTATTTTTAAAATAAGAAGGAACTGTCTGAAAATAAGAATTGAATAAACGTATTTTTCATAACGAATTTGTTTTCTTTGTCTTTTTTATTTTATTTATTTATTTATTTAGAAAATTTACATATAATTGTAACACTACAGCTTACGCCATTTAGTTATACTGTTATATAATCTATAATCTATCTATATAAATAAAAATGAATTTCTGTTCGTTAGTCTCGCTAAAACTCGAGAACGGCTGAACTGATTTGGCTAATTTTGGTCTTGATAGGTTCGTGGAAGTCTAGGGAAGGTTTAAAAGGTGAGAAAAATCTTTTAGGCTGTACGAAGTTTGCCGGGTCAGCTAGTCTTATATAAATACTATTATTTATGTACTTAAAAACAAAAGATATGTACAGATATTTCGTTCAATTTATGTTTTCGGTTTACTCACGTAAATGTTTGTCGAGGAACTCGACTAGTTTCAAGCCATGCTAGGGGGGCTCATGTTTCGGAGTCCCGGGTTGCCGGGGCTCCGGCTCGAGGTGCAGGAGAAGGGGGTGGTTTTTAGTCAGTAAGAGTCTGAAACTCCCTCTGGCCTCACTCAGGCGGGAGCAGTCATGCGATGAGGTTCCCCCATTAAAAAAGGGGCTCATATTTATAAGCTGTATTCCTCGATCCGTGACGCCGCGACGCAACAGTCACCGTCAAACAGTTACATGAAACATAATAATTAATTTAGTATATTAGCGAAAGTTTTGATATTTGGTTCGATAAAATAGGGTAGTTGCCTAAATTTTATTTAATGTCCGTCTGGTAGTTTAATTTAAAACATTAACA